AATAAAAAAAAATTACAGTGAAAGTAATGAAGATTTTGTAGGTTTTGAACCAAACTAAACAACAGTAAACCTTTTTTTGATTTATGGTATTTTCTTGTTTTGAGCTCTTTTGTGTTTAAAGCAATATATACTAATTTTTAGAGTATCAAATTGAATTTTTGTTCAATAAAATCTTTCAAATGCAACTGTAGCTTTTTTTTCCCAAAAACTTTTATCTTCAAAATAAGGATGCGTCTTATTCACCGCTGCTTCTTATATTCCGAAAAATACGGTAGCTTTAATGTAATTGTGGATTATAATGTTTTAGTTATGTTTATGTAAATACACCCCCACTAAATTTGGACTCAAACCAGCTCCTACTGTACACATCTTTCAGTTGCTTTTAGCAAGAAAGTACACAGTATGCATGTACTCCTTTAATTGATCATTCAGGTAAGAATAACAAGAAATAAAAATAAACTACATTTTGTTTCTCATACATTGCACAAGTCTCACACAAGTATATATATATACTTGAATTTGTTCTGTTCAATCAAACCATAAATATCTTTGTCAATAATCAATGTCTTAATACTATATGAAGAGTATTACTCCTAACTCCTTCACATAAACTTTAAACAAGGAAAATTTGTATGTTCACAAAATATGTGACATTGAAAAAGATACTGCACATTATGGCTTACTAGAAACAACTGAAGAAGTTAATAGCTGAATGTCTCCATAAATATATATTAAACTGCTAATATCATGCCATTCAAGAATAGAATAATTTATCGTGTGTAAAGAAATGACCAATCATGTTTCACGACAAGGCTCTCAAACCACACAATCAGTCTTTTTTGTGCAATCTCTTAATACTTTCAGCTTAGAAACCACTATATAATTTTTGTCTTCAATTAACCAACTGAAGTTAATTGTTCTTGTTACAAACTTAGCCTCTTTTTATAGTTAGTCATTGCATTTCCTGTGTATTTAACTGTTATAGGGCCTATTAACTACAATTTAGAATTATGTTCATTCCATATTGGAAGCTAATGACCAAAATAAAACTACAGGTAAAACTGATAAAGTAAAACTGACAAAGAAAATGGATTAACTAGACACATGAAGCTTGAGGTAAGCCTGACATTACTGGAATGGTTTTAATGGTTAGTTACAATCCTACTGACAGTGTGGTACAGGGTTAAAATATTTAAACATCTAGAGAAAATATCAAAAGTGTTAACTCCTCAGAGTATTTGGTAAATACTCATAGTTTTAACTTAATAAGTTTAATTTTCTTTGAGCAAAACTTAAAGCAGAACAGTTTATCATAAGTTTGAAAAAAAAAAATTAAAACTAAATTTAGAAAGGAGAATAATAATAAACAACATTTCAATCAACACACAAGTGTAGCTTACTTACTTACCATTCTGCAACAGTCTATCACCCATATGTGAGAAATACATGGTATGGCAGCAGACAAACACTGAACGTATTTGATTGTACGTAAATAAGTGTCGGATAGCAAAAACACTTCTTTGGCTGATGTTTTCTGACAATGAATAAGGACAGATAGATATAGAATCAAGAGTTTGATGAACACACACTAACAAAAAATGATTGGGAATGACATGAATTAATTCCACTTTGTTTAAAGTTGGTGAAAATCAAAATAAATACTGGTTTATAATACCTGTTTTCATTAACTTTAGCAAAATGGGTGCATATCAGTACCATAAAATTAGTACTGTAGTGTTTTCAAATCATTTAACATTACATAAAAATAGAAGAATCTGAAACTTAAGCAACAAACAACTTTGGAAGGAATGATAATTTTCCTGAGAAAACCGAAACATGAGCTCATCTCAACACATATATATTCAAAGAAAAAACTTGAGATGTTTCTTTCAATGAAAAACAAACAAACAGGGAATACCAAAAATGCAAAATAATCCATAAAACATTTTAAAATATACTTTCAAGGATGGAAGCAGAAACTTTTGCCATAACTGAAAAATTCTGAACATTAACAAACAACTACTCCCATCCATCTTTGTCAACACACACACAATTATCAGTGGTAGCAGGCTTATGGAATATATTGCTGAACAGACAAGCAAATGTATAAAAAAATGACAAGTATAAAAAGTTTCAAAAAAGAACCTGATGAGATAAGTCCAAAGTTTATTTATTTTCTTTAGACTTTTCCAGATTCCACTGTGGCCACAACAGTCATCATGGGTTACTGCACTGAATAAGAAACTTTCCCATTCATGTACTAATAAGCATGA